ATTTCTCCAAAGTCAGTCCTTGTTGTTTTTTAAATTGCAGCTGTGAGTTATGACACTTTTAGGCATGATAGTTATTTAGCAATTTATGACAGAAACATGAAGGAATCCATAATGTGTCTGCACCTACAGTGACTATAGAAATGATGGATTTCTAATAAGATTACGTTCTTTTATCTTCCTCCAAGTAAAATGTTACTGTTAGGACCAAACTCTACTTATAAAATGTATTTCGTTATGAAGGGACACCACTGTAGTAAATAATGGGCTTTCTCACCCACCCACAGGGAATTGTGAAGTCCATGGGCTGTGGTCTGTTGGCACCTCTTGTAGATGAACTAGTTAGGAATAAGAAGAGTCATGACCACTGCCAGGCTGCCTTCACACAACTGACCAAGGTGGGTTTCAGCAATGCAGCTTCAGTCAGCTTTTGATAGAGAACATCTTTTGTGGCGTTTTTCCTTTACTTTGGCGTCTACAGTAAACCTTGGTGTCTGTTTTACTTGAAATTGTTGACCAAAAAACACACTGACAATAATTTCCTTTAAACCCCGGTCAGTTAATAAAAAATACAACAAAATAAAAAATGACATACTGAGGTTGAATTCAGGACACTTCAGACTTGCTCCGCTTTGTAGATGTGCAGCTCCAGAACCGTCCTGGAGAGCTTCCTTCAATTAATTGAAGACATGGATCCAGGCGCCATTTCTGAAACCATTCTTGTCCTTCTTCCTCACCTTCAAACAGGTATGTAAAGCTACTTTGTGAAAGCCTTTACATGTCACATTCACTGTGAACACAGTAGTGAAAAACACACCTCTAAGTCTCTCTAGTATCAAAAGTTCTGTCAAAGTGAAAATCACTAGTTGCAAGGCAGTTTTTGGAAGCATGAGAGGTTAATCTAAGGTTAAAACATAGGCAAAGTTTCACAAAAACATGGTATTTGGCTCCCCCTAGAGTTGATAACCGGAGATCAATGTTGGAGAAAATTCAGTCAAGTTAAATACATAGAAGTCTTTTATATTTTCAGTTCTGCTGCAGCTGGATGAGAAGCGAGCAGCCGGTGTGGGTTTGGCTCTGTCGGCTCTTCACAAGCAGCTGACCCGGCTGCCTGTACCTTACACCCAGCAGCAGGAGGAGGCAGATGAGCACGGTTTGTGTCGCTGCTGCGTCGCCTTGGCAGCGTTCACCAGGCCTTTTATAGATGGGGTAAAGAAGAAGGACGAAAACTGTGACCCAACACCAGAAGATGATGAGCTGAAGGCTGAGATTCTTAAGTTGTGCGTTTCTGTTTCAGTGCTTTTCTTGTGCACACACCCAGCATACTTTACTGGAAGAGCCTGGAGTAAACATTCTATGTCTTTATTTCTGGTTCTTGTCATTAATGATTAAAAAAAGAAATTAAAGTGCAAATGGGCAGAAAGCAGCCACTCTTGTTATCACAGACTTTGTTTTTCTAGTCGATGATACCAGGACAATTGATCTGATCGGTGTTTTTGTTTTCAGCTGCATGCTGAGTTTAAAAGAACCTTTGCTTGAAGCTGAACTGAACCGAGACCGAAAATCAACTATGTGGCTCTTTGCAGTAGAAATAATGGTACTAAATCAAAGAATCGTTTCAAATATTTATCAAGGGAAATCTCCTTCCTATGTGCCCAGATTTCTTTTTGTGCATCGACAGATCATCCTGCCTGCAATCAAAGAGTCTCTTCCAGGCCTTCTGTTCTTCAGTTCTCTGAGGAAATTCACCACGATGGACACTAACCTGTCCAAAGAGTCGGCTGCATGCTTGGCCTATCTGCTTTTTGTCCAGCTCATAGCCATGGACACATTTCCAGCCGTGTTCAGGTCAGAGAATGGTCAGTTAACATTGTGATGAGTTTGTTCACCTTTATAAGAAATGTTTCATACAACTTGTGCTCTTCTGTCCATTTTAGTCCTGTGTTTATTCTTCAGTGCAACATGGAGCACGTCAATCAACTCCTCAGTAGGTATGCTATCAGTAAATTAAAGATTAACATGTTTTTTGCCTTTAAAACAAAAAAAAAGATGTTTGCCTAAAGGTTTGTGTGTTGTGCGTTTTTGACAGGAAGAAGGAATCACATTTACTCAAGGGACTGGTATGAAAAGAAATCACAGAAAATCCCCTGGAAAAGAAGGCATCAAGTTTAATTTGTTTTTTTGTTTTTTCTTGTATTTTTAATAATTTTTCCATAGGCACTGTTTGCTAAAAGCTTGGAGAAGGTGGAGGATAATGGCCTTCCAGTAGGTCTACTAGATCTGGAAAGCTTCTATAGTGCACTGCAGGTAAGATACATCACTAAGCTGTTTGTGTTGAATGGGGGACCTAAGTCAGTGTTGTCCAGAGTCGGTCCTTAAGGGCCGGCATCCTGCATGTTTTACTTCTTTCTGGTTAAACAGACCTGCATCAAATGATGGATCGTTAGAAGGTCTAAGAAGAACACTGACAAGCTGAGAAGGTTGTTGCTACCACCAAAAAGAGAACTAGCACATGCAGGACGCCGGCCCTTTAGGACCAACTTTGGGCACCAATGACCTAAATGTAGAGAAATGTTCCAGGTCAGTAGAGACTTTAATAAGAGTTACAACAGCTGGAAGACACAGAACATGGAGTGAAGAAACGGACGGATGATGGTGTGACATGTATTTTAATGACTTGATTGAAAGAACAAACTTATTCAGGTGTTTGTTCGATTTTATTTCTTATTTAATGGAGAACAGATCTACTTACATGACAAATTCTAAAAAAATGAGGTTCAATAATCTAAATCTGCTGTTCTGAAATTCACAGAACCTGCGACAAGTTCTCACCGACTGTCCAATTCAGCATTTGGTAAATGCATAATCACTTCTGATAAGAGAACAAATGTCAGATCAATGTGAAGAGCAATAATTCGGTGATTTGTTTTAATAGTTTGATGTTTCTCCAGAGAGAATCGGGACTGAAGGTGTTCCAACTTTTCATAAACAAACTCGATGCTGAAGCAAAGCATAAATTCTTCCGGTGAGAATTTAAGTGAGATGTCTTTTTGCATTTGCAGCTTAATAACTGTTGATTTTATACTTGATGAATACCTCAGTCTGCTATTTTTCCCCAATGTCTTATGTTTATTCTACACAAACACCATTTCTTATCCATCCCTCTTTTGCAGGTGCATGTTAAAAACAAGCCACCATGCAGGTGTTGAAGGTTACATAGTGAACAACATCAGGAGTCAAATTCAGCAGTCTATGAAGGTGAGAATAAGGTAGCTTCTTGTTATATCTCAGAACATACAATATATTTACAAGACAAGCTATGTAAAGAATTAACACATTACTGACCTAACACTGACCTGAAGTAACCCCAGATTATAACTGTGACCTCACATGAAGGGTCAGTTCATTCTGCGATCTTCTGATTCTGAAAGCATTTACCAACCCAGCTTCATTTAATGAATATTAACCTAAAATTAGACTGAGGTGACAAAAAAAGATATTTCTGGGGTTCACATAGAACAATACAGTCCAAGTAAGAAAAAATGTATTCTTCAAATAATTTTTGGATTTTCAACACAGACATATCTGAAGACCTAATCTGATCAACATCTTCATGGCTGATAGCTTTGATCTGATGAATCTGTCATGACTCTCCTGCAGGGTGAAGCTAATAAGTGGTTCTTGGGAATGGAGCTTCTGCCACTGCTTGAGCTGGTGCTCAGTTTACCACAAGCTTCAGAGACGGATTTACTCACTAATATGGACAAGTGAGTCATATTTCCAAACACAATTCAGTGACTTAACTCACTGAAACCCTTTGGCCAAAATATTCCAGCAATCAAGGCTGAGCTGTGGATGCACTGTTATTCATCTTAGCCTTTGCAATTTGTCTAAAAGCAGAGTAGGAATCAGGATCGAATCCATGCTTCAATTTCAGATTCCGTCTTGAAGTTTCATTTTATTTTTGTACTGTAGTTTTTCAACTCTACTTCTCAAATTATGATTTTTGGGGATTTTTTTTTTTTAGGAAAAGTGCACACAAATTTAGTCTGTTTTTCTATTGTTTTCGCTTGTCATTTTAGTTTTTTCATAAAGTATTTTGTACACACCAATAAACAAAATAATCCAAAGGAGAAAAAAAAAACAACAAACAAAAACACCTAAACTTCAGAAACTTGAGGATATATTAAACCTGCTGTTCTGATTTACTATTTTGGGTATGGAAATAATATACATAATGGTAAATATTGGCTATTGAGCATCATCATTACATTAATATTGGCCCAAATTAAATCAGTGCATCCCTACAGTTATAGATTCAACTAAAAGATCATCAAAGGTTGTTACTTCAGATGTTTTGTCTGTTTATTCAGAATAATGGAGAGTCTGAATCTTCTGCGCTATCTGCTTACAAGAGACAAAGAAGTGAAGAGCGATGTAAGTCCGTTTAATTTGCCAAATTCCTTCTGCTAGTCTGCCTGGTCAGTCTAAAAAGCTGCTGACTTTTGTCACCTTTAGGCTGATATGTGGGAAGAACTGTGCAGGATCAAAGATGAATACCTAAAAATGTTGAGAGTGTGTATCAGCATGTCGAGAGCGTATTACTCTGCCGAGATGAAAGCGCTGAAGGAGGAACAAAAGCTAAAAGCGAAAGGTACAAATGAGCTGCTGATCTGTGGAACAGTTTAACTTCATATTTTATTTCTGTTCATGCTGTTTGTCCTGCAGAAGCCAAAGAGCATGCTCGGTCTACCAGACTGTTAAAAACCGTAACAGTAAAGCACGACAAAGTCACCCATATGTCTCCAGAAGTCCAGTATCAGGTAGAGATTTTTCTCGTTCTAGTTGATGACTAATTTGGAGAAAGCTCAGCAAACATTGATGTTTTTCTTGTCTCTTAGGTGCTGCAGAGTGCTTTGGTGACATTTGACTTAATGGAAAGCCTTGTGGTCCGAATAGATGAGATCACAGAGGAAAAGCAGGGAAAACCACACTGAAACAGCACTGGAACTTTTTATGTGTTTTATAACACATAAAACACATAACACTTTATTTAATTTGGCAAATTAAATAAAGAATGCAGTGCTGTAAAGTGATCATTTTATCTTTGCTGAAATTATTTTCAAAAGTAGTTTGTGTCATCAGCAGGGACTGTGTATTAACTTGTGTCATGCTAAATAAAGCTAACTGGATCACCTGCTGGGCTTTAGAAAATGTCTCTGAGCATTTCCCACACAGGACTGGTCTCGATGATGTGAGCCCGGGCCAGAGACATTCGCTCTCGGATTTGATCAGCGTGCGGCTTACTGGTGGCCTGCAGACAATTAGGTTTGTCTTTATTTTAAATGCCGCGAGTGAACAGCAGCATAAATCACTTTCTTTTCCCAAATAACAAGTTACCTTGGCGATTGTCAGCATTCCTTTGGCTATTTGTGCTCCATTTCGTACAGGAAGGATCTTCAGATTGCTGCCGATAAATCTGAAGATGTAAAGAAAAGGTTTGGTTAAAGTTAATCTGGAATTATCAGAAGGGGAAAGTTGATGAGTTGAGGTACAATTTGTAATCTTTACCATCACACCAACAGGACCATTAGAGTCACTAATGGGGCAATCATAACTCATGATTGATTCACTGCCATCTATTCAGGTCATCCTTGCCCACAGTTGGGTAGTAACTAGCTACGTTTACTCACATTTACTTGAGTAACATTTAAAAAAAAATAAAATAAAAAGTACTTTTACAATGAGGACTTTGTACTGTTACTTGAGTAATTTTATTATGAAGAATCTCTACTCTTATTTGAGTAAAATTTCCTTGATTCTTAACCCACTGAATGAAAAACTAACATGTTGTAACCAAAAGTTTACCAGACACAGAAGCACACCTGCAGTTTTATGTTAACTTTTCATGTGTGTTTTTTGTTTTTTTGAAAGAAACTGATTTGATTCTTTTGCCAGATTTTTTCTTTCTTTCATATTTTGTTAATTAAATGAGCTATTGTAATTTTTGTCCTTTAAATACCAAGAGCCTGCGCCGGGATTCAAACCCAGGACCTGCTTGCTGCAAGGCAACACGGTGCCACTGTGCAACCCTGATGTTTTATTTTTGATATTTTACTCATGAATTGTATTTTCTATTCACTTCAGGTGAATTTAGAGCAGGGGTCCCCAAAGTAGTTCCTTCAGGGCCGGCATCCTGCACGTTTTCGTTCTCTCCTTGGTGCAAGTGACAACTTTTCAGAATGTCAATGTTCTTCTCTAACGAGTCGTCATTTGATCCAGGTGTGTTAAATCAGGGAGAGAACATGCAGGATGCCGGCCCTCCAGGACCCACTTAGGGAACCCCTGAGTTAGAGAGACCACTAACCTAACACTCATAATTTCAGACTGCTGCAGGAAGCCGCAGAGAGAACCTGCAAGCAGAAAATGTTTATTTTTTTCCTTTGGAACAATTTTTCCACTGTTTTCAAAGACTTTGGTCTCATCCCTAACACCATTTCTCCATCTTTTGTTATCAAATCATTCACTTTGACTTGGGAGAAAACTTTCTCTTTCTCTTTATAAACATTCCCTTCTGGGTCCGTTTTTTCATTTGAGATGTGGACAAAACGACAGAGATAAAACCAACATCAGATAAATAAAATTTCACAAGGCCCATGAGGGAAAAAATGTAGTTATTTTAACACTATACCAGGGGCTGATGGCAGGCAGGAAAACATCCACCGTGAGGTGAGAAAAAATGGTTTAAGATCTGTAAAACACAGCGCACAGCCACCTGACCGTGGATGAAGAGGGGGAAAGCAGTCACACTACATACCTGTGCTGAATCAAAGTCAAAACCTGCAGTTCTTTTTCCCCATTAAAGGGAGAATAGAGAAGTAAAAAGCAGTTCCTGTGGACCTGGACAAATTTTTCAATGCGTTCAGTTAATCCTGATTCCTCCAGAGGCTCTGGGAGGACCTGAGGATCAACCAGCAGGAACGCAATACCTAGGAATTAAAGCAGTATGTGTTAGTACAGCTGGTTATTCATTTAAAGCTTGTTTTAAAAGACCCAGCAGATATCTATTTACATTAAGCACACTCTGACTCCAACATTCACATAAGCCTGAACATTTTTGTATCCATAGCAGATTTAGATTTAAAATAATTTTCATTTAAACAAGAAATTTGCTACTGATAAATGATAAAATAATACCAAAATCAGCTTTCCTTTTGGTTGCAAAGAAATTAAAATGTGGAAGAATCAATTTGCTTTATGTTCAGCAACGAAATAAAATGAAGTATTTTAAATCATAAACAATAAATAAAAAAGTGGACTATGTCTGTGACTGGAATGTTTCATTTAAAGCCATTATGAAGGAACATTCGTTCCAAAACGAAACAGGACTTAGGGTTCATAATTATATTTAGACGAGATGGAAAACCGATTATTAGCTCACCTGAAAGCGGGAAAATGAAGGCCCCGGCTTCCACGCTGTCAGAAAACCTCATTCTGTGCTGCTGTGCGCCGAGCGTCCTGCAGGTGTCATGGTTCTATCCAGACATTTTTCAAAGCAATAATAATAGAGACTAATTAACTTACTGAACACTTTGCCCACGAGCGCTGACATGTCACAGCAGGTGCTAGCTTAGGTTAGCTACAGAGCTTGTTATTCCAATAATTTACACATATATTTTTGTCAAAAAAGAATGAGAAGCTGTTAAATAATTCTCCTTACCTGGAGGGATGAGCTAATTATAATTGTCGTTCTCCACTGAGCGACAGTTTCACCGGGCGAAGCCATTTTTTGATAAAGGTGGACTTAATGACGCAGTTCAGAAAGTTGCGTCGACAGAACTGCTCTGTATGGCAGGTCGATTAAACATTTAATCCAAAACCACAGCAGTCTCCATGAATATTTCTGAGCAAAACGTAAACATGTCAACAAGTATCTACTAGTGCAAATTATGTTTGTCATGTCAAATCCCTAAACTATTTAGGACATTTAATCATTGAGTTGTAGAATAAAATCAGTTTTCCTTGTAATAATGAAGTGTTGTATACCAGTCAGAATCAACATTTCAGCTATTAGGACAACTGACGTCACATTCCTTACTCAAGTGTAATCCTGTAATTCCCATCCCTTTACAGCTGCATTCATCCACAGGAACACTGCAGATTGCTGAGTCTGAACTATTGAGACCTAATTTAAGATTTTTTTTTAAAACCCACTGATAACAAAATCCGGTTTGTGCTTGTTTTGTAGTGTCATCACCAAACCGCTAGATGCCGCTGGCGTTGTGTAAAACCTTGGATGACTTCTGTTTGCCTATCTTGCCGACCCTGCTTGAGTATTTATAACCGTATAATAATTGTAAAATTGATTTTTAAAGCAATTTGTCGGGTTAGATCAGCTCAGGTTGAATGAATAAATTATCAAGCTACATACTATTGGATCATGTTATCCCCATGTTTCACACCCTCAGTCATAATTTAAATATATGGCTGTTTATCTTAAAAAAAAGACTAAAGTTGACATTTATAAATTACTAAAAGAAAAAAAAAAACAAACACACAAAATAAAGTTGAAATTAGTTTGTACCTTTCAAATAAATATTGTTCTGATGAGACATATGACCACCTCCTTCAATTTTTTCCAGAAACACAAATCTTTATTTTACACTTAACAGGAGCCAAAAGGCTAACATGATTTTTCTTTAAGAAATGTCAGTAAACCATATTGTAAGACTACAAAGAAAGATAATGTCTTAAAGAAAAGACACCATTTCTTTTGTCTTTTACAGTTTTAAGAGACACCAACTGAATAGTCCAATCTACAAAAAATATCTGCATGCATACCAGCCTGCTCGTGTCAAATAGTCTTAAGGGTGGAATGACAAATGTAAATGGAAGTGGTGTAAAGTCCACATATCTGCACAATCCAGGAAATGATGTGAGTAGAAAGACGTGACATCACAATTAGCATTAATAAACATAGTAAACATATCATTTTTAAATAAGAGGGGTCAACTGTCCAGCAGGTTCTCCCCTGAGTTGTCAGTGGTGTGTTTCCAGTTCCACGATGGTCCACTCTCCCTGTGGGGATGCGGCGTCTTCCGGAGAGAAGCTGGTCACCGTGATGCTGGTGGAGGAGTCTTCCATGGGTGAGATGAGCTCTGCCCATCGTTTGAAAGTCTCCTTCTCCGGTGACAGAAAGGTCTCCCCGTCCAGGCAGTCCCGGGACAAGGACAGCGTCTGCTTGATGAGGTACTGAGCCAAGTTGAGCTCCTCGGGCACCGGGTTGATCACACCCAGGTTCGACTCGTGCTCCGATAGGAGCTGCCTGAGCAAGCTCCAGTCTCGCTCGGCAAAGTCGCTGCTGTTCTCAGTTTCCCCTTTCCGTATTTCGCCGTCCACCTGTTGTCTAACATCTCTGTCCTTATCCAAACAGCGCTCAAACGCTTCTCCCACGTCCATCTCATAAATGGGAGAGAGGACTTTGGATGATCGGTGGTCATGTTTGCAGGTTTGATCCAGTCTGTCAAGACCATTGTCCCCTAAAAACAATTGACAATACTGGAAAATGATAAACTGAAACACTCTTCCACAGTTCTTACACTTTGTAGTTGACTTACTACATGCTAAGGAGAAACACAGATAACAGATTTTACCCTTAATGAAGCTGTTTCCCTTTCAAACATGATGTCATGTAAGGAGACAGAAGTATGATTCAGTAAAAAGAAATGCTATTGCTGTGAACTACAACGTACCAGATGATTGAGATCTGTGTGAAAGGTCAACAGTCACTTTAAAGGTAATGTACAAAGGAATGTATTTCTGAATGCGTCTCTTCATCCAACTCGTAAAGCAAAAGAAGTCATGCATTGCCAGCACCAGTGAACTTTGTATTTTTCCGAGTTAACACTGATATGTTCTGAGGTTTGTGCAGAGGTCTCTTAACAGGCAGAGCTGAAGAACAAATATTGTCACAAAAATGCAACTGCAAGCTGAAGACACAAAAATGTTATGCTGCCATGTTTTTTTTTTTTAAACATGTCTTCTTATTTTGAACATTCACAATATGGCAAAGCAAATGAATTTACCAACTCGTTAGCTGATGCTGAAAACAACATATATCACTTTTGCATTGGGATAGTACTGCAATAATGGTGTGGCAGGACCACTTTTTGGGAATGTGGTTGGGAAAAACCAGAGACATGGCAGAACTTTAACAGCTGCTCTAGACACACATTACGTACTTTAAACTGGCTATTCACATGAAATTAAATGTACTCAACAGCAAAACACTTTCCATAAACAATAGACATCTATGTCTCTACACACACATCTACTGGGGATGACTAGAAATAATGTACAAAAAAGACATATAAAAAGAATGGCACAAGTGAAATACAAACTAAAGTGATTACATCATGCAAGTGTGCCATGCAAAATAATAATCATAAATAAAACCTACAAAGCAACAAAAACAAACTAAAAGAAACCATTGGGAATGGGTATTTCCCTTAACAGAAAAAGGGACAGCAAAGGGATGCAAACCAAAAGTTCCTCCCAAAAATATATTTTCTGAGAAGCAGTGGCAATATGGTGTCTTTTTTTTATACAATCATTTTTAGACAATCAGTTTTAGGGTTGGGAGGTCAATCTCACAAAAATTTGCTCTACAGTTGCAAAGGTGCTACATACAGTACTTTGAAATCAACAAATCATTCTAAAATTATCATTATTTTATTTTTTATGTTTGCTGTTATAAAAACTGTAAACAAAATGTATAGTAATAAGCTAGACTTTGGTCAGTGTTTCACCCTTCAAACCTGGAGTCCTGTGGTTTGATGGTGGGAAAAAAGTGCATAAGCTGAAAAAATAAATACATATTAGAATGTATTCATTTGAGGATTTTTTTGGGATAAATTTGTGTTTTCCTAATGATAAATTTACTTATGTTGATGTTTCTGGAAAGAGAAGGGAAAGAAAAAACTGTAATGACTTCTGTAGCACCTTGCTGTGCATGCTGATATATGCTGGAAAACATGTTATTCTGGTCCAGATGTGCAGACTTCTGGGACTTTGGACAACATTAAGTCATGTCACATCTTTAAAGTGTGTGTCACTTTTAATAGCATCCTGTTCAGAAGTATTGGGATCAAAGGTGTGGAATTGACTGTTCTGAGTATATTTTACTTCTGTTGTGATGTCACACATTTAGTTTTTTTTACATATTCAACTAAATGCTTAGAAATAAAATTTTAGTGGTAAGATAAAATTAGTGCTGGCTTTTAGCAATAACCCAAACTGATCAATATGCAAAGCAAAACAACAGTCACACTTTCCCTACAAACAGAGGTGAATGACTTATCAACACAGACATAGCCATCGTCGTAATGTTGCATATCATTTGATATTATTGTGTGTTTTGCAATATTTCAGTAGCGTTAAGTTAAATGTGCAACAGTTGTTGTATTCAAATGTTGTGACAGCTTGGCTTATGTAGCGATCAAACTGTCAAATGTTTAGTGGAGTAATGTCGGAACGTTTTTTTGATGCGTTGGCTGAATTCAATCAGAAATCTTTACACATAAATAATACATCTCCATAAGCTTTGGGTTAATTGTGGCCTGAATATTAACTATTTTCAACTTTATTTGGAATTTAAGTTGCATTTTTTCTTAGTATAAAAAGTATTTTGTGAACAGTGTTGTTCAGACTTGATTTGATCTTATGAATTAATGAGAACGAAAGAAATGTCGTTACACTTGTTCATAGCCAGTGCAGTTTAAGAGGTCACAGTGGCATGAGCAAGAAAATAAACTCAGTCGCGATTCCTTTAGTGTTGACATTCTGATTCCAAAATGCTGTAAGGAGCACCACAACCTACAATAAACAATCTATAGCTTAAAAGGTCATATTTTTCCCTCTGTTTAACAGGAATGACAGAGAATATTTTTATCTTTATGTACATCAAAGTGCATTGGTTGAGCTATGTCAGAGCCTCGTCACAAGTCAGCATTTTTTTTAAACAAATGCATTTCTCTTATCAGTGCGGTTAAGTTTCAGTCATTTACCACTGCCTAAGTGCTTTGATCAAACATAGTTTAGCTCTTTTAAAATGCAGAGATTTGGTGAATAGGTTTTATGACACCAAAAATCCAGCTTTAAATGGATATTGATGTGCTCTGCAATGGATGGATCTGGATGAAGGCAAGATTTGAGCAATGAAAACATGAAGTGCATTTATGATTGGAGTTTGAAGTAGTTACTTCACTATTAAGCTCATTTCGATCCATCTTTTCGATACTAGGAAGTCTGGGAATCGGAACTAAGGAGAATTAATCTTGCAAGGACAAATTTGGTGACTACGGAAATTTGATGGTCTGGATTTGGGATCTACAATGGGGCCATAGATCATACATTACCTGATGGAGATTGTGCAGCTTGCACAGCAGAGCCCCCTCTCAGTTGAGGTTCATTTAAGTCTAGATGTAAATCTGCTTTCTTGCTCTCTGAGGTATTGGGGAGACCCTTGTTATTCCCTCCATTGTACTGTTCAGTGTGGCGCAGATCCAGGTGGCATGGGCGCTCCTGGGGAGGCACTTCCTTAGTGTCAGAGTCCAGAACTTTATCCGATATAACATGATTGCTCTCTTCTTCGGTTGGTTCTTGGATTTCTGTGAGGAATACAGACTCCTCTTTCTCATCAAAGTTGAGCTTCATGGCAGTGGTTTCGGGATTGAGCGGTGGGGTGTTTTGATTGTGACCTGAAGGACAAGTAGTGGAGTCGCCCTCGAAAACATCACAGGGAGTGAAAGCTTCATCTGTTTGCTGAGGTGGAGTCTGGGCCCCTCCTTCCTCTGAACCTAGTTCCTCACACTCGTCAACAGACAGCAGGACTGACCGGCGGAAGGTTGAGGTGGATTGGTAGTCCGGTTGGTCGTTGTTCTCCTGGTCTGGGCAGTCATCATCAAAAGCCAGGTTAATGATGCCTTGGAAGTGTGGGGAGGGTTCTGTTGTTGGAAGTGATCCATCACCTGGAATAACTTCGACTTCAGACCTCTCATCTTCCGTTTCCTCCTCTTCCTCATCATCATCTTCTTCTTCCTCAGAGTAGTTGGGAACACCTTTCATGCTCTCAATGGTTCTAACCTCTGTGTGCTCTACCGGAACCTCCTCTCTTTGCAACCAAGAACGTGGACGTTGTCGAGCTCCCTCCTCTTCGCTGGTGGTCTCGGCCTCTCTGCCACGCAAACGCACCTCTACCCTCAAGCCAGCGCCGCCTTCGTACATCTTCAACTCCTCTGGGGTGCTAGTGTCACTGCTGCTGCGCCCCAAGAAGTCAGAACAGCGCATGGTACCGCACTTGGACACCACTCTTTCGTTGGAGCAGTCATCGTCTTGAGACCCTCCGGCATCATAGTCCTCAGAGCGGGGCTTGATATCGTCAGATGATGTTGTATGCGTGCTGCCGCTCTCGGATTCGGGGCTGATTTGATGATTGACTCCACTCCAGGAATCCTCTATGGGGGTCTCTGTACTTTCCACGCTGCCAGGGGTGCCAGCTGGACATTCTGTGTCTTTTGAGGAATTCACCGATCGAACCTCGTGCTCTGGTCCACCGTTTACATTAATAGTGATTACGGCATCTTGAAATAGCTTTGTTTTGCTTTTATCCAACTGTTTACAAGTGTCTGCTTCTGCAAAGTGGACATGATGGACTTTGTTAGGTGGTGCAACACTGGTCTCATCTTGGGGACTCGTTTGGATTTCTGACTCTGCTTCAGTCTTCTGCACAATGTGGTCAGCGCCCACTTCTGAAGGCAGGAATTCCTCTTCACTCTGCCCTACTGGATGTAAACTTTGTGTCGCAGAAGGCATAAGTTGCACAATATCCTTATGCTTCACAGTATTACCGGAGTCGTCAATTGGAGCCTGCTCTGATGTTTTATCATTCACTGCTTCTAATTTTTTACTTTCTGATATCTTGGATGGAGCAGGACTGGATGGTTTAGAGGTTTTTGGTGAAGCTTTTTCAGCTGATGAGTCTGTGGTATTTTTTGGCTTTGATCCAGACTTGGTAGTCGAGGAGACTTTGGCTGTTTTGGCATTAGATTTAGCCGAGACTCCGTTCGCTGATACAGGTTTTATGGTCTTCTTTTTAGTATCACTGGTGACTTTATTGGTGCCTGAGGATTTGAGTCCATCCTTGCCATCTTCCTTTCTGGAAGAGGCTTGCTTTTTCATAGGAGTTCCAAGCTTGGAGGCTAAACCAAGGAAGAAAATATACCCAAAACATAAATTCACTTTTACAATATTTTGTCAGACAGCTACATTAAGGAGCTTGAACAACTCACTATGATGGTCCAATGTAGTTCTTCCCTTGGTGTCTGGTTTTGCCGCTGCAGCAGACTTTTCTGCTGGATTAGTTCTGGTTTTAGCCAGATCTTTCACACTTGATTTATTGGTTGGGCTGGTAAAATAGATGAACAAGAAGCCAAAGGGATAATTTTACAAACAATACACTACAAAAATAAAACATTAGATTTAAATGAAGTCACTTTCACTCCAACTTTTATTTCATTCATGAGACAAGGTAAATTAGGAATGCCAACTGTATGTATGTTCCCTTCCATTTTTTTCTCCATCTAATTACTAATTAGAAGGAAACAGAACAAAACCTGTAAATATTTTAAGCATTTAATATACGTTTGTTCTCCATGTCAGGATATAATGAAAAAAATATCCCCAGTTGGCACTGAAATTGAGAAAATATGCTTTAATGCAACTTTGCAGCAATCTAAAGAGCTGTAAAGGTTAGTTTGCTTCCAAACTATTTGGAGTCTATCATTCAGCAGTGTAGATTACTTAGAAGTGAAGAGCATTGAGGAGAGCTGCCAGTTTTTCCTGGGTTGAGACATGCCAGCAAGTTTGAATAATCAGAAAGACTCTGATTATCAAACAATCAGAAGGTCTCCATTTAGAAGGGAAGCATAAATTTGTGTCAGGACAATTAGAAATTAGATGGGAGCAAAGTAGAGTTATCTGGCTAAAATCCAGCATCATGTTTGGTGACAACTACACGATACAATCACCTTAAGCCCCTAATACAAGGTTTATAAAGAACTTGTTCTTTCCCAGTCAACCCCGACCAGATTCATGTTGATTTGCAGATCACGTGCAGTTCCTCCTCTTTTTCTGAAACCACCTTAGGGATGGTAAAAAACTGGTAAATGACATGTTTGGCAGCTGACTACCTTTGTTGACTGGCCTATGGAACCCATGACGAGATTGTAACAGTTGACAAAGTGTGAAGCTGCAAATTGATAATTCCTCGGTCAAACCCTGAGATCCAAACCTTTTTATTTATTGTGGCGGAAGAGGCAAACAACGTCAGCTGGATGGGGCAACCCGCAACAAACAAAAATTTCAGAAAAACTACCCCCGACCAATGGGACACACTAAAATGACATGAACCAGATAGTGTGAGACTTGACAATGGAGAAGGGGCTTTAGTGTCACTGACTATTAGCACTGTATTTGGCTTATTCTAACCAACACTTAGGCTTATTCTGAACTGGGTCATGTTACAAAACAATGATCCAAAATATGACAGTAATTTAAGCGACTGATTGACAAGAAAATAGAGCGTGGCAATGGCCCAATCCAACTCACACAGTCAGGCAAAAAGCTTTGGGCCATCATTAGGTAAGCTATGAATTATTCAAGATCTACAAACCTTACTGAGCTAAAGACAGATTTTTTTGAAGACAGAGGCCAAAATCCCGCCACAGCATTATGAAAGAATCAGTTAAATAGGTAGAGTTACTTCAAGTTAGAGATGCTGATGGTGGGTTCAACTTTGGTCCAAAGAAATCAAAGCGTTTCCGTTCCAGCCCATTTAATCATCGATAAAACGACGACAAGTGAAAAATATTTTTGTATCTGACATGTATCACCTGAGGACCAGTCTGAAAGATGGTGCACTTAACTGTTAACTTTGCACAGTCTGGTGCAGTATGTTTCCTTTTAGCATTTAAGAAAAAGCCAGGTTCCTAGCCACCACAGCTTTCTGAACGACTGCCCAGTGATGCTAAGTTTGAAACGGATATTTTCAACATCTCTGAAGAGGAAATAAGAGGCTTGTCACAGCACACTGCACAGCTGTTTTTATCCTCCCAAGAACAACTTGATCCAAACACACACACACACACACACACACACACACACACCCCCCACACACACACACACACACACACACACACACACACACAAAAACTCTCAACACTGATTTAGCTTGTGTCACTCTCACCATTGTCATTTTGTACTTGTCAAGTTTTAGTCCGTTCATAATTAATATTTCCTTTTCCAAAACATGTCTTGTACAGACCATGAGCTGGTTTCTACCTGCCATGAACAACTTTTTTTTGCTTGTAGGCCACAATAAGAAGTTGTACTTCAATAACAAGAATATTCTTGCAGGAGGAGGTTATCGGTTTCCTTTCAGAAATCCTACTAATGTTTCATATAAAACTCCAGACTTTACCTTCCACAGTTCTCAAACCTTTTAATGGTCATTTTCAAATGTGAAATGCAAAAGCTATTTATGAATATATGGCAACTCTTGCTGCAGCTGCCAGCAGAAAATAGAAAGACTGACAGAAAAAGAAAAAGAAAGAGAAAAAGAAGCAAACTTATCTTTAGTTGAAAACAGAAATCTAATTTACTGACCGATAAAGAACCCTATAATTTGTTTCAATCAGAGGTCATAATGGTCCATAAGTGGTTTGAACAGGGATCTGAATCGCAGTCAATAAATATAGAGTGTAATAACAATTCTCTAAATTTGAGAACTGTTATGATTACTCATCTCTGTAGTTTATCAAAATACTCAAACCATAGAAGACATGGTTATGAATTTATTTTGTTTCCAGCTCTGAACTTAAAGGAAGCTGAAGCCAGTCACTCTCACCTGCTGGTCCTTGCTGTGTCGGACCTCTGAGGCTGTTTGGTCAGAGGTGACTTGCTCACTGCTTTGGCCTGTGGCTTGGACTTTGTACCTGGAAAGCCGGACATAAAACACGTGAACAGCTGTTAGAAATGCACTGTGCATCAAACGACCTCATTAAAGAAAACAAGAATTATTAGACATGTTATGAGAATGAGGTGTTCTGGGATTGTGTGAACTCAAGAAAACAAAACTATTTTTGTACATGTGTCTCTTTTGTACAGATGTGTAACGAAGAATTATAACAGTAATTTGGTTCTGTGGTCTGATCAAACATATGCATCAAATAAGCCACAATGGAGCATTAGGGTCATACCAAGAAAAACATAAAATAAAAACAATAAAATAAAATTTTGATAATTAAGTCAGACAATTAAATGAATAAAGTCATAATATTAACATCTCTGAAGAGAAAACAAGAAAAATAAAGTTGAATTAATATAAAAATAAAGTTGTATTATTCTGAGGATAAAGTCATAGTAACACCAGATTAACGTCATAATATTATGAGAATAAAGTTGAAATAATACGGGAATAAAGTCATAACAAAATAGAAAGAAAAAAAATATTTAGAGAATGAAGTCATGAGAATAAAGTTGAAATAATACAAAAATAAAGTCATAATATTTGGAGAATAAAGTAATTTAATCAGAAAGTCCAAATACGAGAATAAAGGCATAATACTTTGAGAATAAAGTCAGGATATTGCATGACTAAATAATATTATTACTTTATGCTCATAATTTCATTTTGTTTATTTTCTCAGCTCGGCCCTAATACTCCTTCCTACAGACTGGTCAAATGTTAGATCAGTGGTGACTGTATATTTGTACCAGCAGGACTGGACAGGACAGTTGGTCGTCCAGCTCCAGCTCCCTCATTATAAAGCTCAGTGGTCTGAACCCCCCTCTCACCCCCCTCCCTCTGTGTGACAGCTGTGGAAGGCTGCAACCTCTACTGCCACCAGCAGACTGACAAAGAGAGTTGAATGTTACTTTGTTTCCAGACAAATCAGTGTTCAGACATGAAATAAGCCCCTTCTTCCAAAGCTCCCTCCCAGGGACAGCACAGTATTGATTACACTAATTAAACCGATGTTCCTTTCCAATTCTGGCTACAGTTTTATCTCTGGAGGCGACTAAACAACCATTCAGCTTCAATTGCTGTTCTGCTAGAAGAGGATAATGAATCTTGGTGATGCTGATGAAACATAAAGAAGTCAATAAAAGAGTGTAAACCTGGAATGGAGTGGCTGTCGTTCAGACTGCTGGCACAGTTTTCTGGCGAGGTAGTGGCTGATGTGGATGAAGCACCGGGATGTGCTTGGGTTGTGACGGCAACAGCGGACTTGTCAGCCTTTCCCGCCAAACCTTTCTGGGCCTTAGCTACAGCCGCCTGGGTTGAAGATGTGCAGCTGGGGGGGGAGGTTTTAGGCCTGGCGCCTGGGTTCGGCTTCTTTTCTTGCTCTTTAGGCCCGTGGGAGCTTCTCGAGCCATTTGCCCCGGCCACATCCCGCTTTGCCCCGGCGGCTGCCGTGCCGTTGACAACCGCTGCACCGGGCGACGCTGTCTTCGCCTTTGTCGCCACGCTCCTGTCTTGTTTCTTTGCGTTCTTCGCTTTAGAGTTTTGGCTTTCGCCCGGCTTGCACGCCGTATTCAGACCATCGGATTTCATGGCTGACGCAGCGCTGCGCAGGTCTGGGTTTCTGTTTGTCTTGTGAACCGGAGAGCTCTCAGACTGAGATGTGGGGCATTTTACAGCCTTTGACTGAGGGATAAAAATAAACAAGTCATGTAACTGTATTACTGCACTAGGTCAATCAGCAGGGAATAAAGATTTAAAAAAATCAGCAATAAAGGGATAGTGGATAAAATTAGACCATCGTGTTACATTGATGTGTAATCTCAGATCTACTCTGAGTCTTTCAAAGGCAGCTTTCTATTTTGGCACACAGAACTTGACTTTCTACATGAACTGAGGGACATGCAATGCTTTTAGCTACTAATTTATGATGTTGTAGCATTTAGACAACAGCTTTTGCTATGAGGGCATCTGACACACTGTGACTAAAGGATGGCCACTTCCATGGATTGATCTGAGCTAAACTGGCCCTTTAAATTTGCAAAATTCTTGTAATAACAAAATTAGAGATGCACCAAGAAAACAACTGGTAACTGCAATCAGACAATATGACAACACTTTGCCATAGTCTCGTCAAAAACTCCTGCCCTTTCTGAAATTCCGTCTTCAGGAAATCATCACAAAATGGCTTCTCTATCAACCTTTTAATAATGTTTTTACCAGTGTTTCACTGACAAGTAGCTCCTATTAAAAGATTAGCACATGAGCAACTCAGACAGGTGTTGCTAATTGCTGCTAGCTGGTCTGAGGGAGCTGAGTGGTGGAGCCACAGAGGAGTGCTGCTCAAAAGTTTCTAAACTGTAGCTCTAAGGAGGAGCTGTGCCTCGGAGGCGGGGCTAGGTCCAACCAGGTGTTTTGCACAGCTGAATGGTTACCGTGGAAATGAAAGGATACCTCAAACATGAATGAAAGAATCAAAGTAACACTCCAGGAATGTTCCTGATAAAGGAATAACATTATAACATCATGTAAAGCTCAAAACTGTTGATTTTTACACAACATTGTCCCTTTAAGGCTTCTACATAGTTTCAGTAAAAGCATAAAATCCTAGGTTTTCCTGTTGTTGAAACAGCTGTTTTTATAGGAAAGGTTCTATAAAACTAACTAGTGCTTCTACATGTTGAGGTGTGCAAAAATAAGAAAAAAAATTGGTGAGCAATTAACTGTTTTGCCTGGTTAAATAACTAAATAATTGGGTTTCATTTCTATAGATATTACAACTTGAAGAGCTTCACTGAAGTAATGGGTTTGGGCAGTTGAAAAAGAAAGTGCTTGTTTTATTTTTATTATCAAGAAAATTTCAATTTATGCATAAAAGCAAAAATGAAATGTTACTGATCCAAACAGACAAATGATCATTACCTGTGAGCTAGTGAACACTGGCTTTTTACCAAGTCTTCGATTGTCTCCTTTATCAATAGCTTCTGTCAGAAGGTGGAGAAAAAAAGTCACCAATGAACAAATGAGATTTAGAGATTTACCAAAAATATAACAACATTAACACAATATAACAACAACAACAACAACAATACATCATTTCACAATATTGTTAATAATCTTTCATTTACATCTGGTACATTCTCTTACATACAAAGCTCCACATTTATTAAACATAAAGGTTCTAAATCCTGAATCCTCAGAATCTAAACACACAGCTAAGAACTGTAGGAACACTGGGCCATACACCGATACCAGTCATATCAATTATTCATGCATCCCATTTCCAATTATTATTAGATCAACATAAATGAAGCGGGTTGGTAATTGCATTTGTGAAAGCTTTTAAATGTATGCACAGCCACAACAGCAGCAGGCTAAGCTTCATCCTGTTAAAAACAAGCATGGCGCATCTGGTCCATTTACCATGTTGATGTGCATTCATAAGCCAGCGAGCTGCACACACACTGCCACCATGCCTCATAAAAGCCCTGTCTGGATATTAAATGGGTTAGCAGCCAGTGTGCTGCTGTAATATAAGAAGCTGGAGCAGAGAGGACTTTGGAGGATTTTTATGTAAGCAGAGCACCAGCTTTAGTAGAAGACAACAAATGAAAAGCATTCATATTACTTCCAGACACAGAGCCAGGGTTTCAGACAGAATTCCAGTCTTTACCTGCTAATATCCTCTCTTTGTGTTTGGGTGAGAGTGCCTCCCATCCCGGCGTGTGGCGAGCCGCATAAGAGGTCTGAAGCAGGAAGGTCCAGAGGCGCCCGCGTAGCGTGCCGATCTCCTGCCTGAACGGCTGACGGTGACACAGAGGAGACAGGCAGAAGAATGGAAGGGGTGCGCTGCAGCGCGGGCGAATCAGCAGCTGCTTCAAGAATGTTTCACCATGGCAACAAATACCCTCGCCTCCTCCCTTTTCCCTCTCTCTTTCCCTCTCTCTCTCTGCCCCTCCCTTGCCCTCTGCCTCTGTGGCTGAGCTCTCCTAAAAGGAATCTGGGACCTCATGAGCTGATGTCCATATTCCTGTTTTCACACCTGGCTATAAACATGGAGCTGGAGGGACAAAGGGACCCAACGTTGCTCTCTGCTGTCGCAAATTTGACCAACAACACTCTGCCGTCGACATTAGACACACACGGCTAGATTAGTGAGGCAGCCGGTGTACGTCACAGCGTCCCTCAGCCTAATCCATTCTGCTCTACTGTACACGGCTTTAACTCCTGTAGCCAGGTCACTTTGTCATAGGAGCCATCTCACAAACTTAGCTCTCATCTTTATGTTGCTTTGCAGATGATTTCTCTTCCTGATTAACGGAAAACGAAGCACCTCAATCTCAAGAGATTCAGGTGATTCAGAGATTCAGCATGCAGCTGAAGACCACAGATTAAAATCATCTGTTCTGCTGCAAGTCTTTGTGAAACAGCCTCTGGGCCTGCTGTTGATTGATATAGCTACTGAATGATGTTGTTTGAGAATTCGATTTCCTATGATTAATAACATCTACAAAGGTCTGACTTTCAGACTTTTGTAGAAGAGGTGTGATCTTATGTGGAATACCCATTGGCAATAAAAATACCTTCTTTAATGACAAACGCAAAAATGTAGTTTTACGTCCCCCACATTAAACTAAACATGGGACATTATAATGAAATAAATAAAGAAGTAATATATTGTGGAATAGAAATCTGTAAATCATTGTAGATCCAAAACATAAACATACTTTTGTTGGTTTGTGTAAGTAAAAGCATGCAGTTTCCAAATATTTTTTTTTTGTAGACTAGAAAAAAAAAAGTGTCTATTCACAGCAGCAAAAACGGGATTTGGGTCACTTTTTAAAAACGCAAAATTTTCCAGTTATAATAAATCAATTAACTGCAGAATTTGGTTTCCCTGAGGACTGAGACAAATTTATAGTCTTAAATTAGGAGCCAAAAAAAAAAATCTGTCTTTAATGCTACTAAAAACTGATCTACTGAGTTATGCAGGTAACCATGTAATGTATCATGTATCGTCTATTCTGGATTTGTATTTATATAATTCTACAAGCTAATAAAGCAAAACCTTCAAATTTAATAAGGTCGTGCTGTCTTTTAACAAACATATGTTCAATCAATGGCAATCCAACTAAGAATAAGGATTAGTTTACCTCCTCTTGTTTTTGATGTTCCAGGTGAAAATCTCCATCAAAGTTATCTTCACACAGAGAGTGGACAGCGGTGAACAGATCGCAGCAGTTGTCCACTGCTACACCCTCCCTCACCGCCAAGCACAACTTCTTCAGCAGCGTCGGCTCTCTGGTAAACTCCTCCCTCTGCAAGTCAGTGACACACCAACAAGAAAATGGATGCAGTGTGAAAGTCTTCACATTTCTTACAATTTTTCACATTTTGTCACATTAAAACCGTTAAAAAGGCCCGGCTGACATGTCTGTTGCTAGTTGGGAACTGAATGTTTACAGCAGCTCTGAAAAAGGTAAAACATCCAAAAGATAAAACAATTCCAACATTGTGTTGTGTAGGCTAGTCAGTAATATCGCCAGCTTGTGGTGTGAATTTTAAAGGTCAAACTGGTGATTGTTTGGCATTTTGGTTGAACAGATTTCATTCCACACTGTAAGAATCCAAGCAGGTTACAGGAAGCTGAAGGTGTTGTTTACTTCTGCTTCCTGCCTTCTGACTGGCCAAGTTGAATAAATAAAATACAAGCGGATTTGAGTGCAGCAATGTCAGCTTTTTAGGAAAAACCTCTGGATAAAACGTGATTCTACTTATTATAAAAGCACGGCTGTAAAAAGATGAATATTTTTGTGCTGTTCTTGACATTTTAAACTGTGGGCCGCACGGCGAGCATGCCTGCTTTAAAAGGTGTGGAATCGTTATTACCCTGCGGAGGTTGTGGAAGGCCTGAGTGTGGATCACCCTGGGGAGGTGCTGGACTATGAAGTGCAGGGTCTCTTCCTGGAGCTCCTCAGCCATGGCCCTCACATGCTGGGCCCACTTCACCTCTGGGAGGCTGCCAATCAGCTGCTCCGTGCCACAGAGCAGCGTCATGGCATTCCGTACAGTCTGAGGGAAAACATCTATTAGCTAAAGAAAAAACTCTCTAAGAACAACAAACAACAAAAGAGGTGAACATACAGCAACAGATAAAAAAAGTAAAAATAAATTATTTACTCCTGCCCAACCCCCTGATGATCAGAGGAGGGAATTCCCTCATAGTGCTGTAATGTCAACATGTACCAAGTCCAAACCACAGCGGGTCAGTCTTGATTCATAGACTAAAGACTCAGCCACCAATTACAGGCACAGATCAATCTTCATCCAAGTCCTGAATTAGGCCGATTTTAATAACAGAATTGAATAAAGCTCATCTCTAATCAGATCATCATGCTTTTTCCTTCCTGTTGAAATGGACAAGTGCTCTGTTTGGTGATATTTGGGCTTGAAGAGAGCAGAGCAGATGACTGTGGGAAGAGTCCACTCACCATTGTGTCCGTTACGGCCGTGATGCAGGCGCGCTGCAGCTCCGGGGACAGGAGGGAGAAGTTCCTCTCACACCAGGCTTTCACAAAATGTTCCGCTACCCATCTGAAAACGCAGAGTGGACATAATTAAAAAGCATTCCCTGAAGCCATGTGGTTTAATTTCAGATTACATATTTTACTTTATAACTACGCATTATTTTGAGTTCATCACATAAACCAGTAGCATGCAGGGATGTTTGTGGCTATAGTGAAAAGGTTTGAGTGTAAAGATTTATGGAAAGCGCTTTATAAAGCGCTGTATACTTGTATATTTCACAATGGAAAAGAGAAGTAAATTAGCCTAGAAACATTCTAAAATGTAAAAGTATTTATGTAAATTGAATGATATAATATTAAAGCCATATTACAATGAAACAAAAACATTCAAATTTAGGCTTGTAAACAAGCTGTGTTTCTCTTTAAAGCAGATTGCCCCTGAACCTTGTCCTCGTGTCTTGATCGCTTAATAAGAGAAGCATGAACCCAAAGCCTGGTTACAGAGCAACAAGATAGTGACGAAAAAGGTCTGAAAGAAGTCAATCAACTGTAACCAAGAGTGGCAAGAATGACTCCAACTATAAATACCTGTAATTTTTCTAAGTGTTTCCATATAACATATAACCATGTCGGAATATTAGTATTCAATGTGAATTACGTTCTATGTTGTATCATTGTACAGCATTCAGAATGTGATAGTATTTTTTTTCTCATTAACAGCTGCTACTTGGTGCTGAATGCAAACTTACCTCCTACAGAGCATGTGGAGGTTTTGGAGCCCTAAGGCGTGTGTGAGTGACAAGCACTCAAGAACCGTTCTCTGGACCCCATCAACTGGCTGCTGGAAATGGAAAAAAAACACAAAATTCATTTAAAAAACTGATGTTTTAGTACTAATATTTTACAAAGAAATCCTTTGCAAAAACCAAGTAAATATCATGCTTGTTTATGAAGAGAAACAAGTTGATCTGTGAAAATATAACAGTGTGAAGTGTTAGAGTCAAGTTCATGACTTACAAAGTTTATTTGGTGATTTAAATCCTAAAGTTTGTTCAAAAAAAGATTTAAAAATCCAAAAGCCAGAAGAAAACTAGAAGTGGATGTGTAACATGTTCTGCCCCAAACTTACAGATTTAGTAAGTAAAGCACTAAAATATAACAGAGCAGCATTGTAAATTAACTTACAAACTTTATAGCAAAATAAGTGCTGCTGGTAAGCAAGATTTCATAGCCTATTATATATAATGTGCCATCCATTCCAACTCGTCCTGCCAACCATAAAATGTATTTGACTTTTACTGTCCTTTACATCGACTCCTGATCAAGATGGCCAACAGAAAAATGGAGCAGAAAAAAATAGGTAGGTAGTTTAGTAATTTGATGTTTGTAAATAAAATGACTAAGAATTTCTATGTTTTATTCAAAATTAAAGACAAAACCTCTTAATGTTAGAAGACTGCCTTCACTAACAGAGCTGCTTCTCTAACCTTGGGGAAGAAGCGGCAGTAGTCTCGGGTAAAAATCATCTCCACCAAGTCTTTGAGCCCCTCCAGACCCAACATGTCTGCAGCTATGGTGACCTGACTGTGTTGTAGAGAGATCACATTCAGGTTAGCCTGTTTTCTCATCGTGTGCAGTGATTTCTGAACCCCATACTCAGACACACGGTACCTGGCGTTGGCTCCGCTGGGCAAATCCATGACAGCTCCGTACATAAACTGGAGCAACATTTCCATCTCATCTGGTCCCAAGCTGAAATGGATGACATCAATAAACATTTTTAAAAACTGCAAAAACCTTTGTTCAATCACCATTTGACTCAAGTTCAACGCTGTTTCTTCACTAGTTCACAATTGAACCTATGTCAGACACAATAAAGCTAGTAAGCTAACAATGGTAAATTAGCGGCTAGCTACTGGTAGAGTCAACTGTCTCCAATCACAAAACGCAATGAAGATGTCTGCGAGCAACTCAAACTTTTTCCTGACAGAAAAGTCCTGCGAGAAAAGAAAACTACATAGAATAAACTAGAATAAACAAGATTGACAAAATTTTAGATGCATTTCCGGTCAACATATATATTTTTAAAGAATTTAAGACATTGTCAAGTCTGGATTTTAGATACATAAATTTAAAATCGTGCAGACACCCTCAGTTCAGATGACTCAATTGGATTTTAATGTCACAGTTGTTCAGGAGAAGGAAACACAGAGTTCCACTCATTATTTGGTTCACCATGGAAAAATACCATGGTCATCAATAACTTTGGTTTTTGACTTTGTTAAAATTTTCACACTTCTGCAAAAAAGTTGTTGCACCTATTTAAATATAGTTTCCAATAACAGATGTGTTTGTTTTTGATACTGAATACTACAGAGAAAATGTTCTGGTTATATGTGGACAAACTTGCGTTTACATCACAAAAACTGCTCTGCTAAGAGCTGTTTTAACATTGCCCTGATTCCTGTAAATACAATCATACATTATCCAGCACTTAATGCACGAGACAGCAGCCTGAGGGTGAAGAAAGGCTTCCCTAGCGAATCAACTCAATCGCTCTCCAATCTGACAGCCGTGTCTTCCTCTGTTACCGTCAGATCAGCGATGCGCGGATGGATGACACTTTACGTCATGGAGGAGAAAAAAAAAGAAAAAAAAAAGCAAACTGTGGAGGCAGAGATGGTGTGGGTGTTAACAGTTGCTTCTCAGCATCTTTGGAAGGCTAGACATTTATGCATCTCAAACAAGAACCTTTGTTGGTAGAAATCCAAACACCATCAAAGATCTTATCAGTAGCATCCTATCAGTATTGGGTTTGCAAGGTAAAACGTTGAGATTTGAGGTGAGGAGAAGTCTTACCCGTGCAGAGTGATGCATTGTCTGGTGCTCTCCATCCAACTCCCACTGAGCATAGCACGGAAGTACTGAGAACGTGCACACAGGATTGCCCTAGAAAGCCAATGAAGCAGAATTGTTTCTTAATGCACATGCCATATGCTTAGAACGGTTTATTTCTGTTCCATAATTCATTTTACTTACATGTTTTATTAAATATGGTGTTTGAAACTTTTTGCATATGTACTCCCAATCACCCACACCATTGTATTATCCTCACATGGATTTAGTAAAGGTCTGAAATATCTATTGAATGAAGTTTAGTCAAAGGACAGAGAGAACTTTAGCTCTGCTGCCATGGCAATCACAGCAGCAGAGCAACCAGAGCGTGGCCCGGCTTCTCTGTGACGAGCACAGGAGTCAAGAGAAAACTGTCTCCATGGTAACTAGTTGCAACTTCTACCTTTGAATCACTGAATGACCACCCACTGTTGAGTGAGGCAGCACATGCTGCACCTCTGCTGCTGTCCATGTTACATAATGTAGAAAGGGCACACTCACCATAACATAAGGCTTCAACATGACACTATAATGTACACCTTTACATTATGGTAAATGTGCTGGATGAAGGAATTATATCATGAAATTTCTATTCACTTATTGATACTATGCACTTTTAAAGAGAAAATCTACGATATAACTCTGGATATACCTCTTTCACTCAATCATGAAGTTTTACATGCCAATGTAAAATGCAACGTTTTCTCTGTGGCTGGAATATGCAAATATGTCAAAATTGATAAAAGTTTTCTAGTTTGTTCATATTTACCATAACCTTCAAATACTGAGCCCTGCCAAAGCATTCACAACTCTTGATTTTTTAAACCTCTTATAAACTCTATTTAAAAAGGGATTTTATGTGATAAAGTTATAATTTTTTTTTACTTTATATTTGAAAGTGTTTGTAGAAGGAACTCAATTGCCTGTCCCTTGCAGCCCTTATGTCCAGTTTTACACTTTGGCTTCAGCCTAATTATGGGTAACGTTGTATTGTCTTTCATTTCTGTGTTTAATGTTGTAAACTGACCAAAATTAAGTGAAATTGAATTGAACTTTTGCCTTCTGCCATCGGATTAGTTTTGCCTTGTAGTTAGAGATACTATTGCTAGGTTTAAATTAAAACATGTCCAAGCATCAAAATGGCCCAGTCAAAGTCTGGATTTGAATCCAATTAAGAATCTGAGGCAAAAATCTAAAATATATTGAATCATACTGCAGTATATAGTGTTGAAACTATTCCACTTCTAGATGCACAACCCTGGTAGAGTAACACCCAATTAGACTTACATCTGGAAACCCAGCAATCTACAAAATATTAACTTGTAGGACGTCATACAAATGCACTCCACATGTTCAGATTTGCAGCTGTAAGAACCTCTAAAACCAAGGTATTGTTGGGTCCTGCCATAGATACATTGCAATAGCAGAGCAACATTAGCTTAATAGCTAAAATTAACTTAATAGCTAATTTGATATGAAAGCTAAACTTAACATGCTGAAGTGAAAAGTCTGTGTTAATCAACATGCTATTGGCAGCATTTTAGCTAATTTTAACTTCTAAACTGCTGTTAGCAAACATAATGGCCTAAATCAATGTTACTCAGCAAGGCTAATGATTGCCAATATGCTTCTGACATAAATACAACTAACCTTAGCATTTTTGCTAATTTTAGCTTATACTTTGCTGTTTGTATACTAGGTGGAGTATATTACTGGAGGTCAACATGCTATTGATAGCTCATATGTTACTGACAGCATTTTAGCTAACTCTGGACATTTTCAAGACATGCAACAAAGCCGATTAAGCTTTGATGCTCAAACTTGAGGCCCACAGAACTAAGTCGGCATCAGAAGCCCTCATTTCAGTCCGAATACGTTCACCGTGGAAGGTCGCTTTTAAATTTCATTAGAAATGTTCTAGATTCCCTTCCTACTTCTATTCAACTGTTCACAAGTTCCAATAGTGGAGGTATATTTTGAATACTATATAGCATTTATATAGTTTGAGAGTACCATCAAACTCTATGAATATTTAAGTCTTCACATTCTGTATATTTTGCAAATTAGTAACGGAGTTCAAAATACAATTTGATTTTTCTTCAACAAAAACTTTGGATCTAACTTGGGATCTAAAAGAGCTCCTTTACTGAGCAAAACCATAAGATTTCCCATCATTAGAAAAGATTCAGGGTGTATGAACACTTTTCATAGACATTAGTACAGTGGATAGCGACTAAAGTAGCTCTACCTGTGGCAGGAGAAGACCTGCTCAGCCACCTGGATGGTGATGTCACACTGTTCTCCCCTTTTGTACAGGTCCAGCAAGTCAGCACTGAGGCCTGAGGCTGGTTCAAGAACAAACACACCTGGACAGAAGCAAAGATTAATTATAAGGAAGCACCAAAACATCTTACGTGAACTTTAATCTGCTCTGGATACATTATGTGACTGATAAAACAATGTAAACTAAGGGAATAAATACAAGGCAGGGTCTAAATCTACAGTCATCTACAGCAGGAACTTGTTGTAATTAGCAGGAACAGCAACAAAGACCCAAACGGGATTAGCTCTTAAGTAGATTATGACTAAGAAAACATAATGTGAAGAAAGTGGATCGAGGTGGGAAGCTTTGTGGTCACATGATCCAGAGTAAAACCTTCACGTGTTGATGTGTTTACCTGAGTCAGTGGAACTGTGAGGATCTGCTCGGTTTGCAGCGCTGCTCTCTGCGTCGCGGTTTGCTTCAGCCGTTCGCATGCTCTGCTCTGCTGTGTACACTTGCCTGTGGGTAAGACTGAAAGTTAATTAAAATGGAACCTTGTGTGTGTTTCCAAGCTACTATATCATCTGACACAAAATGACTTCTGTCACCACAGGACTGAGAAGTATTTTCACCCTGTGGACAGAGACGTTTATCTTAATCAGTGACATAAACCTTCTTAAAAACAATGTATATTCTGTATTTTGACCACATGGGAACTGAGAGACAGTGGTGCATTCATTTCTCTAATTGGCTAGCATCTGTTTTCCTAAAATGCATTTAACTCAGAACAAAAGATGCAGTCCTCTTTTAGCAGAAGCAGGCACATAGCTCAGGCAGAAAGGGGTTGAGGTTGAAAATGAATCACTGCCCCTGGTGGAGAAAACTAAGTACTACACCTCTTCTTATCGCAAATGAGTTGCAGCTTCTCTGCATCACAGGAAGTCCGTTGATGTGGGAGACATTACAGTGCATGTAAAAAGCTTTTATGTTCATCAGTAGGATGAACGTCATAGCAATAATGAGCTTTAAAGATACATGTGAACCACATCTTATTCAGAATGGAACATGTCCACAACCACAAGTTTTAGTGATGCTTCAATACAAGAACTGGGTGAAAAGATTTGAACAGAAGGTCAAATTTTTACATACATTCTCACTAATATTTAGAGAAATGTTCATTGGGGAGTTGCAGAGAAGCAATCAATAAGCCTTAGGGAGGATTCTGATTGGATATTTATCCAGACTTTTCATCGCTAATGCTAGAGTTTGATTCGCTTAGCTCTGAAGAATGATCCATACTTTTCCAACATCACTCAGGTCAGGGTGGCTGTTAATCTGTCACAGTTTGGGATCCTGTTGGAACATCCTGTTATATTCAAGTTTAAATCATCTAGAAGCAGAGTTGAGGTAAAACTGAAGAATGTACATGTAGTCTATTTTGTCCAGTCCACAAGAACCACTGGCACCGAAGTAGTTCAGAACTTGGCTGTTCTGGCAAGACAAGGATCATAAAAAGATTTTATAACTGTTTTGGAAAGCAACATTAAAATTCTGGAATTGTTCAAACCTCAACTCCAATAAAATGAAATGGACTGTGCACATTTGCCAGCTCTCTCCAATGAAACCAACCAAGTTCAATGAAGCTGGATCAGATTAAAACTTCAGAAGGAAACTATCTTGCCTAAATGAAATAATTATTCTTTTATATTCATTTTGAAGAAGGCCCTATTCTCAGCCTTCATCTCTTTAGCTGGCAGCCCTTTATGAGTCGGCATTCAGTGCAAACAACACCAAAAGTTTACATGTATGTATAAGCAGTCCTAATGTGATGTAGGAGCCCAATGGCTGCTGTAAGAATCTGTGTCTCTGGCTTCCCAGCAGCAGCTGCTTTTTAAGAATGAGTGTATATTGTTAACAGAGAACCAGAGTAACATATTGACTAATTTGCTGCTTCTAAAGGATCAAACCCCTTAATGAGAAATCTGAAACCTTTCAAGTATGAGTGACAAACAGAAAATTCTCAGCGGTATTATGAATTCATCTAAACGACTCGATTCATTGTTATAGCTCATTTGTAGCATTATTACAACCAAGACGTTAAATGAGGCTGCTTGCAGAGAAATCCACTCAACTTTTCTTTAATAAAACCATTATGGAAGCATTTTTGGTATTTATTGAAGTTCAGAATATATGTAAATGAACCTCTGTAAGACACCCAGTGGAAGTTTAGTGCCAAAAGAAATGCAGAGCTGAGGCTTTAAGTGATGCTATTCTGTGAAGTAAAGCAGGAAACAGAAGAGAACTCAGAGTCTACCTGAGAAAATCCCTCAGTGCTGGCAGATCGTAACCTGGCAGATGGATGATGATGGGGTCTTTATGTGTCTGTCCTTGTAGGAGATGTGGAGCTCTGGCCAGCAACACGGCTCTGTGAGCTCGGACTGAACCAGAACCTGCATAAAGGGAGACATCTGCCTCAAGTTCCTCCTGGAGCAACCTGGAGACACACACAGCAGTTATTTTCCAGGCCTCTGCCTCAGACTTTAAAACCATAGCAACAAATACACAGATATTAGAAGCAAGAATAAACAGAAATTAAACATTTTACACATTTTCTCAGGTTTCCATTTTTTTTTTATTTTTTATTTTTTGCCTTAAGCGATTTTAGTAAAAAGAAAAAAAATTAAAACCTAAATCTTATTTTTTACTTAGTAAACTTTTTACCTAGGTCACTATTTTAGGAAGGTGACAGCATAGGGATGCACCGGTCGCAGTTTTGTGTTTGATCACAGATTTTTTTCAAAATTAGCTGAAAACAGCGAGAAAGTAGCCAAGTTTGCACAGTGGGGTGACAATTGTTAACCGCAAACGTGCAGATATGACCTACTGGGCCAGTCTGTCAATCAGCTCTCCCTTCGCAGATAAGTTAAATTTTACATGCAAGTATCAGCCGATCACCAATCTAAAGAGTTTCAAGGAATTCCATACTTTGACTGACTTATGTATCCAGAGTGGTCAGCCATGTTTACTCACTTAAAGTCTAAATACAAACCTTCCCTATAAAATCAGAGCAGTGGTGCAACTTTAAATATGGAACCAGGAAAAAAAATAATAAAGTAAAACACAATAATAAAAAAAAAGAAAAAAAGAAATCAGAATCAAATTGAATTGCGAGGAACTTAAATATTTGCATCTCTTCTCTATTTTGTTTATTCCCTGCTTATCCAGACCCAGGAGATACATTAATCAAATTTCCATACTTTTCAAGCCTCATTGTAATTCCTGTTCAGAATGCATATCCAATGCCCTGTTTTTCCACTTCAGGACTTTGGAACACACAAGTCCTGACGCGGTCCACTTTTTCTTTACCATCACCATATCTCATCCTGCCGCTATGACTGATCTGGGTGACCCAGAAAACAGTCCGGGTCGGCCAAGTGTGCACTCATAGATCAAATGACGATGTCACATTTGTTCTGCAGCTCCAATCACAGTGAAGAAAAAAAAAACCTGACAGGTCACTCTTGTTAAAAGAGGATTCCCATCCCAGGTCGCTTGTATCAATGTGACCAATTAGCTAATTAACAAAGTTTGTTTATAGAAGAAATTCCTTGTGAGCTTGATGTGTTGATATCTTCTTCATATGGCTTCACTTTAAGAGTAAGGCTCACAGCTATCCCTCTTTAACATTTTCACATTTTTCTCACAATTATATTAATCTATACATAATTTTAAAATATATTTTGCAATACAATTTTACAAAAAGTAAGTATACTGAACACAAGAATTTATGTGTATTTTATGTGGGGTTCAAGTGATCAGCCAAAGCAAAGATGTGTAATAATTGTGAAGTGCGAGGAAAACAGTACATAATTTTTTTTCCAATGCCTGTCCAGTTAGAGGTAAATATTACCTGTTGAGGTCTGCAGACAAAGCTGATGATAAACATCTCCTCAGCTGCTCTTTGTATTTGCGCTCTTTGGCCTGGAATTCTCTTGCAGCTTCAGTGTTGATCATGGCTCAAGAAACTCTAAAAGATAAGTGTACAGGACAGCTCACTTTGTGATCTGAGAAGAGAATCAAGTTGCAAATAATGGCATAATAATCTAAACAGTTGGGGAAAAATATTTTCTCAGAAACCATGATATATTATCTACTGACTGCAGATGTAATCGAATGTATGATATGGATATTATGTGTATAAAATGGATATTTCTGCAGGTTGTTGTATTTTTAGCAATACCGTTTTTCGCCGAACTGACCGGAGAGGCGCTGTTTCACAAGTTAGTGGTAACAAGAGGTAGCGGCTATGAGAATCAAAATTATTTGACAACGATGGCAAGATAATTTTCACCCCATAATCATAACGTAAATAAAGGCGAAAATTACTTTAAAATACCAAGCACTTAGTTAATAAATAAAAGAAACAGGGGGAGTTAAAAGTCCAGCAGATATTTAACCGTGTCAGAATTGAAACCAACAAAACCACATAAATATAGCGGAAACATACCTGAGCTGTCAGAGTGGGCCTGTTCTGTCTCTGCTTGATTCCGTCTGTGCTTCTCCAAAAACACTGGACATCGCTTATCTTCCTTTCAAAGCTAGCATGCTAGCGCTAGCTACGACTGGCTACCGATAACGGTGTATGTGATTAAACGTGAACTTCGAGTGGCGCGTGACGAAAACAGACCAGCACAAATAATATTCCGTATTTTTCCCTTTGGCAGCATTTGTATATATTCATGTAGCGACATTACCAGGGTGCTGACCCACTGACCGATGTTGTTGACATCACCGCTGCACGCTGCTCCCCGCCCACGGGACACGGTTTGACAAATAACCAAGGAGCGGACAAGTCAGGAAGTATTCTGACATGCGCAGTGCAAGCACGTGGACTGTCACGCTTTTAGGACGACGCCTTTACCTGTCCCCGATATTCTCAAATCTAAATAGCTTGTTAGTTGCAGTCACGTCATCTCTCCCATTATGAGACGATAGATTTGATTTAGTTTTGCAGTTTTCTGCATCCAAATGAATATAAACAATACAAAAGGCACTGAGACAAAAAATAAAAAAGCAGAATGAGACGTTTGGACTGGGTATATATATTGAATCAAGTTTGTACCGTTTGTAGAAAATTAGAAAGGACAACTGCTTATCTTTGACTTTCACAGCTGTATAGTTTTCAACTATTTTATTCAGATTGTTGTATCTCGTGTGTGTGTGTGTTTCTGTTTCTCCAAAACTCCTACCTGTTTCAGCAGAAAGGGACAAATAAAGGATTATTTTATTTGTATGTATCAATTTGACCATTCTTATTTCCCACCTGAAAACGAAACGTTTCTTACTTATTAGTAAAATAAGTAAAATAAAAAAATAAGTAACGCCTGTTGCAAGATTTCCTGACTGTTCCTGAAAGGTCCCAAACGTGCGTATGACGTCATCGTGTCTTCCTGCAATTGTTGCTCTCGTCCTCAAGTCGATTGGCACAAGTGCCCGGTGCACGGATTCAAACATCTATGTTGTTATTGCAGAGATTTGATTCAGTTTTGCATTTTTCTGCATCCAAATGAATATAAACAATACAAAAAGCTTAAATATGAACTCATTAGGACAAAGACTATTTTTTCAAAGAGTGGAACAAAAGTTTATTAATTTCAAACAATAGTGCAGGTGTATAATTCAGCAATATAAAATAAATAAAAAAAAATAGAAATTTCCAGTTTAGTTCTTTAAATTGAAACCAACCCAATCTGCATCTTCAGGTGGAACAGTGTGGCTGTGAAAGCTGTTTATGTGAAACTATTATGACTCTACGTCAGCATTTATTTTCTTTGGCACAGAGCAAAGTTATAAATATCAACTATCCAGACGTTTGTTCTGCAGAAATAGATTCAAACTGCTGCGTCACTCGACTTTTATAAGTTTAATAAAGCCTCCTCTGCTCTTCCCCCTCCATCTCCTCTGTAGAAGCTTACAGTGACTGCTGGTGAGACAGCTGCAAGCACAAAGACAGAGCACAGGAGTCTGTTTATAGCTGCAAACACCCAACAAGAATCGTCACCCAAAAATAGGCTGAAAATGCGAAGAAGCGTTGCAGACTGATAGACACTTATTCAGTTTATTTAGAAAATCAAACAGCATCGACCTGGCTCAGTGAGTTTCAAAATGCAGTGTGTAGGAAGAGATACAAAATAGTACAATAGGCAACTGTCACTTAACATTTCTCTACAGGAAGATCAAGTTAACATTCTCTATATTTGAGCAGAAAAAAAAAAAAAAAAAACATTACTAAAAAAAAAGAAACTTCCATTTTAACAAACTCTACCTGATAAACAAAGCCCTGGGGGGACTCCCAGAGAACTGTGCCCGAAATACAGCTGAGCGACACGAGAACAGTGGACAACGACACGCCCGGCCGGGCCGGAGGCCCCGGCCCGGGACGTCTTCACACCGCGACAGCTCCAAAGTTAAAAGGCACCACACAATGCAGGTCACAAAGAAAACTAAACAAACAAACAAAAAGACTTCGCCACACATTTGTAATGCTGAAACCGACAAAAACTTTTAAGGCGGATATGTCGCTGTCATGTGCAAAAAATATCTTAAAACGTGTGTCCTCTCCTCTTGAGTGAGAGGTGTGCTTTGATTCTTTCTTTCTTCTTTAAAAAATATATCTAAAATGTGAAAAAATTTAAAGAATGATTGCATCATCACTATGTTGCTTGGTATCACAGGCATATTCAAGGCTTCCGGGAGAGTGGGGACGGTGCAAGGTGGGTGTTGGGGGACATCGGGGGCCGTGGTGCGGGTTTAGTTCCTGTAGCTTTTGCGTCCCTCTCCCTCCTTCAGGAAGGTCCATATGAGGGTGTTGACAATGTCGGGCTGGTCCTGCTGCAGCCAGTGGCTGGCCCCGGATATGATATTGAGACGGAAGTGATTCCTGATGTAGAGGCGGCACGCCTCGGCCATCTCCTGCTCCAGGAAAGCGTCCCGCTCGCCCCACAACAGCAGCACCGGAGACCGGACATGCTTGTGGCTCAGAGGGAGCGAGCTGGCGACAAACAGATACAAGTTACAAGACATTTATTTACAATTAATAAATGTCTTGATTAGATAGCACATCAGGACAAGCTTAAAGATCATATTAAAAATGGTGCTTGTTAAATATCAGTTTTAGCACAATATCCCATTAAAACCCCAGAGCTGTAGGAAATTATCCATGTTCCCAGTGGCTCTGTGGAAGCAAAACTCCAGCCTCAGCCTGGCCTTGATGTTGCACTTCCACAGAGAGAATAAGAAAAAAAAGATTTTTTTTTTTGCAGAAATATTCATACTCCTTAAATATTCTCACATTAAACCTGCAAACTTCAATGAATGTCATTGAAATAGGTAGGTAAGAACAGGGATGTGCACAGATAGACACTAGGTGGTGCTAGAGCACAGGCCGATTGAACTCCATACTAAAAGTGCCCTTCTGAAATCTCTGACAAGGGGCGGGGGAGGAGACAGTGGGGTTCAAGCAGTGTGTTGTGTTGCCTTTACAGAAAATAAAAATTACACACTACTAAAGTTACGTTCACACTGCAGCCAGAAGTGAACCACACTGCAGTAGACCTGGCTCGAAAACAACAGGGGACAAAGGACATGGTCTCTGGTCTGGTCTTCTGGAGGCCACACAACACGAGAAAAATGTCTCAACTCCTTTTGAGTTGAGACTTCTGAGCTCACCTGAAACAGGCCCAATTGATCACAAACAACTGAAATGCTCTTGTTTATATCATCTGCACCATAGTGACGGTGAAATCCCACACAGTGGTACAGTGTGTTTTCAGACAAAGCACATATGAAATGATTGGTTGAATAACGAATGACTGTACGTTGATATTTACATCCCTGGTGGTCATGGGTCAGCAAAATTTCTTTCATGTGAGCAAATAAAAGCTGTTCTGAGGAAGCTCGTTGCTTGAGAAGGGAGCAGATGGCCTGCCCAGTCATGCACACACAGTTCACATGTAAAAAAAAAATACAGTACATGCCCTTCAATATTCTTCCCTGTTCCTCCTTCCGGCTAACAGAAGTGGACAGTTTATTAAAGAAAGCTGCAGGATGATGCAGATATTTGGTAGACTTTTGTTAGCGACGATAGTATTTTTAGACATTATCATCTAAAAATAGCTTCTATTTTTAGGCACTATTGCTAATTTCCTACTACTGCTAATTTATACAGATTGTTTTTAAAGCATATATCTTCTGTGTTTCTATTTCTATGAAACAGAGATAGATTTTGTCTAGATGTTCTTTACATGATGTTTTGTATGTGAATTAGCAATGCTTATTATAACTGACTCACAAAGGCTATTTTGCTGATATTGCACCTTTTCTCCTTGAAATACTAATACTAATGTTGTATTTAGTGACAGTGTGTTATTTATTCCACTGTACAGATTTAAGAGTGCTGAAAAGGATATATCAATGTCTCAATATTCAGTGAATGTCATGTTGTGACGCTTTGTTGAGCTAAAAGACTAAATTTATTTATCACAGCTGGAAATAATTTTATCTCCACGGAGTGAGGAGATAAACTTTTTGTATCTGACACTATAGTGAAAGATGTTTCTGCTACATGCAGGCTGTGTGTGTGTGTGTGTGTGTGTGTGTGTGTGTGTGTGTGGTGTGTGTGTGTGTGTGTGTGTGTGTGTTGTGTGTGTGTGTGTGTGTGTGTGTGTGTGTGTGTGTGTGTTGAGAGACAACGCATGAAGAATGGCGAGCCAGGATCCAAAAGAGCGGATTCATTGTAAAAATGTATTTACTTGAAATTTTAAGTAGTGGACCAACAAAACGTACAGCATAATCATGAAGTGGAACACATGGTGCATTGCTCCCGAGACTCAGACCCAAACATGGAGAAACATGGAAAAACAGCATTCAGTTTTTATGCTCCTCTACACTGAAACATATGTCCACAAAACTGCAAAACTGCTGAAACACTGAGTTCAATTAAATCAAAGCTGAAGCCCCACCTGTTTAGAGGTGAAAGGCCAAAGAACTGGATCAATATATTTGAGGTATATTTTTCATCTGACCCCTCATTTTGTTACCTAGCTCACGTTCGTGCATGGCGTCCCTGAGCGTAGCCATGAATCTTCGGTGAACGTTTACAGATGATGTTCGCCAAAAAACTCAATGAAACGCCATAAAATGTCTGGCAGACAGCCAGCCAACGTTCACTGAACACACAAAAGAGTCAGTAAGGCTAAACCCTGCGATGTTGAGAAGTCCTCCAATTAGTCAGAAAAGTCCACTGGTGCGTTATTAAGTCTTAACATAAATGCAGCTGTGCAATGATACAGTTACAGTCAAGAGTTAAACCAAATGGGGAATTTGTAGGCAGACCGGAAAATAAATAAATGTTTATTTATTGGTCTTCTTACAATGAAGACACTTTTGAAAACCCTATTTTTCTCCTGGTTCCCAATCACGCACTACTTTGTGGCTGTTGTTTTTGTGACAAGCACTTTAACTAAAGCGGTGAAACCTTTTTAAAATGGTAATTACTCCACAACTTTTTAAAATTTCACAGCAGACATCAGAAATATGGCTAACAGGGGCAGCATTAGGCATCTTTCAGAATTATTTTATAGGACAATCAAGTAACTACTGCTATACATATTAAATATGAAAATATGAATGAAATTTTACTTTAAAATGTAAACTCCTTGAAATTGTCCCTTTAAGGATTCAAAAGGTTTTATCATATTGGACTGTGACACAGTCCAACTCTGAGCATTTAAAATGGTTGTCAGTTTGGCT